TTATCCTCTAAGTCATAAAAATGATTGGGGCTGTTTAATTCCACTCAATTCTTAGCAACAAACATGATTTGCTGCAATTTGCTTCAACCTGCGCCATACGTGGATGTAGAGTTAATCTTTAAAACCGTCTGTGACCTCTTGCCAAACTCTGTTGTGACCTCTATATCTCCCCTCTTACAGGACATCTTTTTTCACCTGCACTTCCAGGTATTACAAAATGAAAAAGAATGATGTGCTTTTGCACTGCATGTATATAAGTCATGTGTCCTACATGTGCTGTTTATAAAGGCGCATATCATGCAATGCAGTTTGCTGTGTGTAGTATTTTCAACCAAAATCTAATCTCAGACTCTACTTACTTTGGTGCGTGCACTAGTTCCGCTCCTGTGTTATTTTTAGCTGAATGCCTTTTTCTTTTTTTTTTCAATTTCCATTTCAAGTCTGATAAATCACACGGTTGCTGCATTCTTGTGAAACATAGGCAGACGCAGCACTATTAACCGTGAAAAAGACCGCTTATTTTCTTGTCCTGCAGTTTCCTTTCATGCTCTCTGTGAGGGCTTTTTGTCCTTTTTTTGCCACAATGTACAGTGGAAGCCTGTGGGCTGTCAGTATGTATTTACGTGAATGCCAGCAAGACAAATTCTCCCATTTTGCTTCATGATGAAAGTGTTTGTATGAAAAAGAGCCCATTGGCTCATTTTCTCTGCCAGCGGCTCGCTGTTTTTCTGTTAATGCATTGTGCTGCTCTGTAATGCATGCGCATTTTACCGTGAACTATTCAGCCATTATAGGCAGCACAGAAAAAAAGTCTTAAGAATGATATGAAAATAATAAGAATTACATCACAAAGGAAAGGCGCTACAGTCAAATCATTCTTTGTCACGGTTTCTAACATGAATTCATATACAAGATTTAGGTGTTAGAAATACTTCAGGTTTCACAACAAATCACGTGTCATGATGGATTTCCCTGTTTAAGAGAGTTAGTTGTGGACTATTAATTTGCTGTAATGAGTGAAAAGGATGCTTAGTTAATGTAAGCCTCGATCACAGCTCCTAGTGGCCAGCTTCATAGTAAATTGAAACTACTTGAAAAGCATAGGCAGCAAGATTTTTATTAGTAATGATCTAATTTATATTGTTAGCAGCTTGTTAGCCAACGTAAACATTGCTTTTCATGCATTTTCAGTCTAGTCCTTGTACCTTTTTCAGAAGAATGTTTAATATCATCATCATCATCATCATCATCATCATTATTATTATTATTGTGATCTATGAGCCATTCAAGTATAAAAAGGCACCCAACTCAAGGATGATCCAGTGTTGTCTAAACATTAAATTTGCTGAATTAATTACTTGCAGCCTCTATCAAAAACATTTTATATGTTCCAGTCTCTTCAGCTGAATCTACAAAAATGCCAAAGATAACACATCTTGAAAGGCTTTGTCCCCAAGTTGATTTCTTATAAGTTAGAACAGGGCTGCCCAATCCCAGTCCTCAAGAGCTACTATCCTGCAGCTTTTAGATGCATCCCTACTCCAACACAGCTGAATCAAATGGTTTGATTACCTCTTCAGCATGCCATCATGTTTGGCAAAGGCCTGATAACAAGCCATTCATTTGATTCGGGTGTGTGGGAACAAGGATGCATCTAAAAGCTGCAGGACGGTAGCTCTCGAGGACCGGGATTGGGCACCCCTGAGTTAGAAACTCAGCATTGTGTGCAGTGTGTCCCTAAAAATTCTGAGGAAGAAAGTTTTTAGTGTTATAATGCATTAGTAGTGCTACATTAATGTGGGTCAGCATTGAGGGCCTCTGCTCTCTCCCTTGCTTGTTGAAGTTATTTGGGTTAGTGTGTTTTTTTTGGCTGATATCCTGTCTCACTTGTGCAATGATGTCAGTAGAGAGACCAACTAGGAGTCTCAGAATATTGTGTTTTTATTATTATCTCATATTATTAATAGGTACATTTAGCAGCCACTGAGCAACATTGACATTTTTTAATCAGTAGCCACCTTGACTAAAAATTGGCAGTTATGCGCCAAATCAACTCGAGCTGCATCGTGTCCTACACAGTAATTTGTGTCATTGTTTTCCCAAACTGGTTGCCTTACTTTCATTTTGACAGTACATTTATGTCCACAAGTTCCCAGCTTTACCTTTGACAGCTGCTACTGCTCAGCATCACTGCATGTTACTTTAACCCCCTCCCCCAGCCAGCATCCACCTGTAGGCTCTGGGGCTGTATTTATTCATCACTTCCCAATTGCCCCATGTGTTGTATTTGTTGTACTCCGCTGCAACCATTTCAACACATCTACGCACAGAATGTTGTTTACTCAGCAATATCTATTTACATGTACACAAGTGAGCACAGCTGTGTTCTTGTGAATGAAACATAGGAATAATATTATTAATAATAATAATGATGAGTAATAATTATTTGTAATTTAACAGTTTAATTGTAACAGTCCAAAGTTTGAGGAAAGAAAAAACTACACCCTTTTTTTAAAAAACAACCCCAAAGATAACAAATTAAGCCTTTCGAGATGGGATGTGAATTTGGTTAAATGGACAGGTAAAGCACTTTTTTCTGTTGAGGATGTGACAAGTTGTTCATATAGCATCGTTCAGACATGAACTTATACTCTGATGGATGCAGGGAGGAACTCTGTACCTTTTTCTGTATCTTGCCCACGGATACTTCAGCATACAAACTGGAGAAGCCAGGGATTGATTCACCGACCTTCCGATCGGTAGCCGACCCAGTCTTCCGCCTGAGCCGCAGGAAGTTTCGTGGGTTTACATGTATTTTTGTGTAAATATGAAATTAGAATCTTCAAATGTATTAGCTGTAGTTGTTAAAAGGTAATAGGTAACATTACAGCATAAGTGTAGGAAGTATACAGGTAATATTAAAGCGCACTGATGTAGAATGTGAGGTAGAAAAGATAGGAACACACTGCAGGGATTATGACGAACAAGTGAAATTGATCAACAGCCAACAAAATACAGTATATTATACAGTGAGTTACACAATCAATGTTAGTGTACATATGCTGCAGCAATTTCCCTGAAGAATATATACTTTAAAATATTCATTTTAGCTAAAAATTAAGGCTCATTTTCTGTGGTTGTGCAACACCAACTTTAAAAATGTGTAGAAAAAGAAAAGAAGCCTTAGAAACTGAAGCCGTACAGTAAGTTTTACAATAGCTGCAGCAGCAGTTTTGCTCGAGGGAAGCTGATGATTGGGTTTCAGAATAAATTGGATGTCGTGTTGATATTCCTCCCGTATTGACATCAGCACAGCATTGTCTCAGGCTTTTCTACACCGCTGCACAAAGAAGTGAGCGCCTGAGTTTCTCTCCGTTCTAACAGAGAATGAAAGGAGGATTTTCACATAGCTGGAGGCCTGAGGGTTAAAAGCCATTTCAAAGTCTGCTTTTTATTCGTAATGGTTTCTTCAAAGGGCCGGGTCGATCACGACGTGTGACTACTGTAAGTGATGTGCCCCTGTTGTGTGACCCTTTTCTCTTTGAAATATTTGATTTTATTTTTAGAGCAATAGAGCAGGAAGCACCTGACCTCCAAAACTGTGTTTGCTCTCACTGAGAAAGGTGTGGCCGTCATTACTGAAATGACCTCTGCTGACATGGCTGTATTTTTAGGTAGACTTACAAACTTTTATATGAATCTGTTTTTAGTTAATAATTACATTTTCCAAAGAAACTGCAGCTTTTACTATCTTTATTTATTGGAATATTTCTTATGACCATGTTTTAAAAAAATGACAAAGACGCACAAACACGAGGGCTCAGAGGGCTCAAGAAGTGTTCGTTCATCTTAATCCTTGTTTTTCTAGTTTTTTCCATGAGATGAAAGAATCAAATGGAAGTCAGAGATAGGACGGAAGGCTTCAGTTTAAAAGACCAAAAGAGGAAATTCAATTCAATTCAATTTTATTTATATAGCGCCAAATCACAACATAAGTCGCCTCAAGGCGCTTCATAGATACAGAGAAAAACCCAACAAAGATCTATCTAACAATACTGATTGGGAAACATGGGACGGACTATTAACATGGTTTGATCCAGATGTGTGAGATGCATCTTCAGCATTTCTGTGTTTGTTTGGTTATGGACGGCTCTTCTCTACCCTTTTTCTTCTTTTGAACTGGAACAATTTACAATGACAGTTCACTTCTGCCATTTAAACACTGATTTTCACGACTATCAGGGTGTACGGATCTCTGAGTGTTGCATGCGGTCGACCGCAGATGATGGTGTGAATAAATATCAGATTACTGGGAATTTCCCTAGGAATAATGTCTGGTTGACTAGTACATACAGACAGCAGGTTCCCTAAGCCTTCGCTTTTTCACAAGACAAAAATGTGCAAAATTTTCAGTGATTCCTGTGTGGTCAGGGCACACCGGATGGCTCTGGGTTTTGCGCTGTGTTTACATGAATTAGTGAAATGGAGACAAAATGTCATCTTTTTGTTTACATGAAGACAAATAATGTATTTTACTAGGAAGGGTTTTGCTGCTGTGCTAGAAGTGTAAGTGAGGCTCCCCACAGTTGTTGTCAAACAGGTGCTTAAATGCTACCATGATCTTTTCATAATCCTAAGTAGCTTCACTTTTAATTAAGAGTACAATTGGCATGAAGAAAGTGTCAGTGGTTTGAAAAATATTGGAATTATGACTGTAGTAGGTGAAAGTCCTGTTACTTAATCCATGGCTCTGACCTCCTAAAGCAAACTGTGCTGCTTTGCAATGAAAGCACAGTGATTCAGTAGACAACATTTTGTGAAAATCTGATGAACTGCTGTGAGCCTTGAGCAGGGAAACTGCATGGGCAGTGGTAACATACAGCTGCCTGGGGTCTGATTGTGTTTGTGTAGCTCATAAAGTATCAGCTGACATAGATGACAAGACCGGTTAAAGTGTAATGACTGTGATTTTGGCAATAATTGACTTCTCATTTTTTCAGGATGGACCAAATTTGCACGGCTCACACGTGCACTCACCAACAACCGCAACACCCTACAGCAACTGGCGCCTATTGGCAAACCTGAAGTCAGCCATAAACAGTCCAGACTGGCTGAGGTGAGCACATACGTTATATGAAGAACATTTTTGTCGTTTTTTTTTGCAGGTACTTATCCGATGAAAAAGTTACTCAGTGCCACCTATAAAAAAAAAAAAGGAGACTCAAACCAATTTTGGCACATCGCCCCTTCAAGGTAATCATCTTGTAGATTTGGGTTTTGCATAATGGCTCATCACTGGTGATAAGAACCAGACCACAGATTATGACCCAAAGATGTACAAGTGCAACAGGACTTCATGGAGTGATCTAAATTTGTGTTTGAGACATTGTAACTGGCCAAGAAGGGGACATGTGCTCATCTATTTATTACTTTGTTATTTTCAGGATGTCCTGATGTAGGAGACAGACATATGTCTATGTCTTTATAATATTAGGCTTAAGACTTTCCTGTTTGGCAAAGCTTGTAGCTAGGGCTGGATCAGGTGACACTGAACCTACCCTTAGTTATGCTGCAAGGCTGTTGGTGGCTATTAATTATGAGCTATTATTAATCTCTGGCTCTCTTCCACAGCATGTCTTTTATCCTGTCTTCCTTCCCTCACCCCAATCGGTCGCGGCAGATCGTTGCCCCCCGAGCCTGCTTCTGTCGGAGGTTTCTTCCTGTTAAAAGGGAGGTTTTCCTTCCCACTGTTGCCAAAGTGCTTGCTCATACAGGGGTGGGCAATCTTAGTCCACGAGGGCCAGTGTCCCTGCAGGTTTTAGATGTGTCCTCGAACCAACACAGCTGATTTAAATGGCTAAATTAGACTGAGATTGCCCACCCCTGTCATAGGGGGTTGCCTGATTTTTGAGGGTGCTCTGTATTATTGTAGTATCTTTACAATATTAAGCACCTTGAGGAAACTGTTGTTATGATTTGAGTATTAGCTTGCTCAACTTTGAGGTTTAAAAAGCTTTTTTCCCCACCTAAATTGTACTTATGCCATGTGTGCACAAGGTTTCACTAGATACAAATAGTTTTTTATCTGGCTGAAGTTGGTAACACAAGCTGAACTGCTCACACAGATAGATAATTTGCTGGTTACCTAGTAATAGCAGCTAGCTGGCTAATCCTAGCTTGATAAAAAAAAAAGAAATTGTATTATTGTAAATTTAAGTGCGTTTTCTGTTTGCCTGCTAACCTTTAAGCAGTGCAAAACCTTCTATTAATTGTTCCATTTAAGCAGCAGCTTAGTTCTTCAACTTAAACTGAAAATCATTCCCATTTCTTCATTCTGCAAACAACATAGTCGCTAATAGCTACCCTGTCACACCAGAAGGAGTCTTCTGTATAAACACACACACTGTAAATTTGCCACCCTTGAAATATTTCTGCATCAAAAAAATCCCCGTATAAAAGATTTATAGCCTCCTTCTGACCATATTCCCAAAGCTCACTAAAAGAGAACATCAACTTTTACAGTCAAAAACATGCATATGCAGTCACAGGCTTCACCTTTTCCTAAACACGCACACCACCCTCCCCTTAACTGCTGTTGTTGGAAGTAACACATTCCCTGCTGCTCCTCTGAACTGTGGGCACCATTCAGGACAGGTGGAGAGACAGAATAGGGTGGTGCGAGCACTCCAAATGATTGTGCTATAAAGTTAGAAAATGGATTGCAGGGTGGAAAGAAGATGGTTCATTTCCCCAGTTTTCATCAACCTGTTTTATTCATGAATGTTTGAGGAAGGTGTGATGCCTTTAATCAGAGTTTGTTTGTGTTTAGCGCATGATGCAAGAAGTTGTGAGGGTTTCTGGGAAGGTGTTACCGACTCAGGTGTCCTAAAGGTGAAACAGAGGTGAACTGAGAAAGGTGGAGAAAAAGAACTACAAAGAGAGGGAAGAGAAAGGAGTGGAAGTAGCAACTTAAGAGGGAAAGAATGGCATGAGAGAAGGAGATGTGGGAGAATGTAAGAGCAGTAATGTTTAGGAGAGAAGTAGGAAGGAAGGACTGGAAAAAGAAATAAGTTAGACCTGGTATAACAAGCTAATGCACTCTCTTAGCCGTTTTCCTGGCCTGGTGCTGGATGGGTTGCAGGGTAATGTGTTGAGGGTGCTCAGCAGACACTGCAGGTGAGCCATCTGCTCTGCAGTCTGAAAGGCACAGCTGGCGTCTGTCAAGAATGCTGTTGAGTGTCTCACGTGTAAGCAGGGATGTGTGCGAGTGTTTTTTTTTCTTCTCCTCACAATGCTTCTGTGGGTTAATTGGCAGCCTCGTTTCTGAGCTGTGGTGCAGCTCTTGACCAGTTTGACTGACAGCTTTGATGAAGAGAATTAGAAGTGACTGAGCTCTGATGTTATGAAGCTTGCTGTTAAACCTCAGCTCTGTCAATCCATCGTTTTATTTAGCATCAAACTGAATCCCAGTGTGAGGACAGTTTGGGCTAACTCAGGCCACGCTGTCCCAACTGTTTTGTCAGGAGAAAATGATGATGACATGCAGTATCAGTAATTTAGGGTTATTACTTGTAGTCATCGCAAATACAATAATACCAGAACCAGAAGAGCTGTATTGGTAGTAACTATAAAAACAGCAATTTTACTATTAGAGCTGTATTACTACTATTTAACATGCTTCTTTCACCGAATACAGAAACCTGTTAATGTGTTATGTTTGCGGCGGCAGAATATATTACAGCTCTGTAGCTGACACAAATAGACTATTATTTTGTATAAATAATGAGTCGAATGGTTAATGTGTGATCTGCATGTGGAGCTGCTGGATTTAATGGAGTCTGTTCTGTAGAGGTGGCTGAGCTTGGCAAGGGTGATCATCACCACGCTAGGAAATAGACTACGTATTTTTAAAAAAAATGTTTTTAATTTAATTTTTTGGTCATCTATTCTTTCCCCCCTCTCTCTCCTTTTCTTCTTGCCAATTTCAGTCCCCCTTCTGTGTCTTCCCCACGTCAAGCCAAAATGTATTCATAATACATTTCTGTCACCAACAGCCTTACAGAAGAACAGACGTGATGAATACAGATTAAAACTGAGAGGAAAAACTTTTCCTTCACAGTGCTGAGCACCATGGGCTGATGATCGTTAGACTTAATAAACAAAAACAAAACAAGGACTGTTTTTGTTGAGCTTTCTTTCATCTATTTCACTAATTTAATTTCCCCCTTTCTCTCGTTTCCTTTCTGGAAACCGTGCATGTAGTTAGTAAAAAACAGAAACGTGCAACCGTCTTTCTTGGACTGCTGTTACAAACATCGCTGACAGTTAGAAATTCGCTTGACAGGACAAACTTTTCTCTAATGAACTAATAAATCGGACTCACGCTGAAGAAAGAACCAGGGGAATTTTAGCTTTCTTTGGAATTCTTGCATATATAAAATATTCTGCTAATTCAAATCAGTATTAAAGGAAACCTGCAGCATCATGCTTTCCTTTAGTTCATTTCAATGCCACAATGTTGATATGAAACTGGTTTCCCAATGTTTCCAGTGTCTTTCACTTCATGCAATAGCAGGTCCAGCAGTACAGTTAGTATGGCTCACCCGGCTGCTCTTAGCAGGATTCCAGGAATTGACGAATGAAGTGAAAATGGGCTTTTAGGGAGGGATTTCTTAAACAGACAACAGATAAAAATGACTTGTTTCTGAGAGACAATCAACTAAGAGCCCAGAGATAGAAATAAAAACAAAACAAAAACTTACTCTTATGCATTCTCAGAGTTTAAAAAAAGAGCTGGAAATGCATAAAATGCATAAACAAAACTGGCAGTTCAATATTTACAAGTTTTTAACACACAAAGATGCCGAAGAGCTGGAAAATCACTTATTAATTCATGTTATTAGTAAAAGGTACACTTAAATATACAAAAGCCACAGATGTCTAAAGCATTAACCTGTTTTTTCCCCATACTGTACATTTACTGTTGTATTTTGTTTAGACTAAGGGTGCTTTTGATGAAGAACTGAAGTCTAATCATATTGCTGTTTCCATCTGCAAAACCACCTCCAGGTTTTGCAGCTAAACTCTGACATCCTCCCGCAGTACAAGCAGGAAGCCCCCAAGACACCACCTCACATAATACTTCACTACTGCACCTTCAAGACCACTTGGGACTGGGTCATCCTCATCCTCACCTTCTACACGGCCATCATGGTGCCCTACAATGTCTCTTTTAAGACCAAGCAGAACAACATTGTTTGGCTGGTGCTAGACAGCGTAGTCGACGTCATCTTCCTGGTGGATATCGTTCTCAACTTCCACACCACCTTCGTGGGGCCCGGTGGAGAGGTGATCTCTGACCCCAAACTCATTCGGATGAACTATCTGAAGACTTGGTTCGTCATCGACCTGCTGTCGTGCCTGCCCTATGACATCATCAATGCCTTTGAGAATGTGGATGAGGTAAGTTTGGGCATTTCTACTGTTGTTAGAGGTGCAATTACCTAGAATTCTCACAAACCTAAATCTCAATTCAGCCCTGAAAGTGGCCAACAACATTAAAACCACCGGTCTAAATATTGTGTAGCTGCCTCTTGTGCTTCCAAAGCTGCTCTGATCCATCAAGGTATGTTCTCCATTAGACCTGTTACGGTGACGTTGTTGTACTAATTACCAAGATGCTAGCAGCATGTCCTTTAAGCCATGCAGAGTCATGTTGAGGTGGCATTTGGAAGCCAAAGCAACATCTTGAACCTCAAACCTTTTTTTAAAGTGTGGCAGTACGCATTGTTCTGCTGAATGGGGCTGAAGATACAGTTGACTTTACGAGGTGCACGTGTCCTGCAGTGTTGCTTTGGTTTTGGTACATCTCAGTGTAACATTCGCATTAATGCCAGGACCAAACATTTCCCTCTTGTCAAAGGTGCTCAGGCCCTTTTGCTCATTTTCTTCCCTCCTCCTACTCAACACATCCATTTCAAAATGTAATAGATCTGTTTCTTCCTAATATATTTCACCCCTTTACAGGTGCCATGGTAACAAGATGATTTATATAATTATTCACTTTACCTGTCAGTGCTTTTAATGTTGTGGCTGAATTGTGCACCTCTCAAATAACCTTTTTGACTATTCGTCAAATTTTTTGCCTTCTTTAGACTTCAGGGTTAAAAATCGTTACTGAAGTACAAGATGCAGTGAATGAACAGAAGCTTTTGAGCTTTTTTAAAATAAACAATGCCTAAGTGCTCAAACTTTATAGTTCTTCTAGGATTGTCTCGCTATCTTTTGTCTATTCATGCAGTCCTCGTCTCAATGCGTGATCTGGAGATGACGGGTTCGTATGAGAGTGGGCTTCTTCTTTTTGTGGCTGAAATGAGTAAACATTTAAAAGGGACTAATATGTTTCCCGGTACTGTTCTGTCTGTAGTCAGTCTGTCAGTTTGAGCCAGATGTGTAACAGATTATTTTCAGATGATTCAGAAGATGACTGATGATTGTTTTTTGATTCACCACATGGGCTTTAGTGGCTCCGTAATTCATTTACATCTAAATGAAAGGGATGTCATTACACAGCAAAAATCAGGCTTCGTGTTATACTTCCAAGATTACTGTAAGTTCTCTCGAGATGATGACTCATCAAGCCATTATGTCAGTCGTTTCCCACAGTTTGCTGATTGGTTGAGTTTAAAGCTCGGGGGCACAGATGAGTCACAGTGAATGTTTGTGACCCCATTTACACCTGCTATTAACAGGCAGTCTGTGTCTGCACGTCTTATCAGGACAAGGTAAGAAGGCATTTAATTCAGGTGTAAATGCAAATGTAAAATGTGATGACATTGGCCAAACCAGGTCTGGAGATGGTCACAGCTTGAGCTGTAATTGGATCTTGTAATGTAATTGAATTCTGTCCAGTGTGGTCACTATTTAAAGAAATAAAAACATCAAAACATTTGATGAAATCAAACATATGTTGGAAAGCCAAGAATTATGATTAATACCAAATGCAGCTGCAGGTTATATGTTGAAATCAGATCTACATGGGGTCATGTACTAATATGAAGGGGACGAATATGAAGCAAAATCTAAGCTCATCTTGCTTCTGTGATGCTATTAGGTTGTATTTTGGCAGATTTAAAATCTTTTTAGGTTAAAGGGATGCACAGAGGAGGAAAGATTTTGAATATTGGAGACAGGATTTGCTCTTCCTCTTCCCAGAAGAAAGTGAGTGTCTGCTCTAGGGCATAATGACTGAACATGAGTTGCATGGATTTTTAAACATGCTAAAAGGTACCGCCATCAGATTTTCAGAGTGGTGGAGAACTCCTATGTCCCAGCTTTTCCTCACAAGGAGGTTACAGAAAATATTGTTGTACTGATGTTCTCCTGCACATTAGAGAGTTTGATTTCTGGTTAAGGTTTCATAATGAGATCGAGCTCATTCGGAGTATTTTTCACGCCCACTTACCCCCATCAGATATCGTGCAGTTATATCAATATGGCCTCAAGTCCATTAAAGGTGATTTTCCACTTGATTTCCCAGCAGTTAATTATATTTCAGCCCGAGTGTACGGAGTAATCAATTGAACGTAGAATGAAAAGAACAACTAATATCTACTGAAGTTTTACTCGTGTAATTCTTCGTTTTTTATGTGTTTCAACATTTAATTATTTATGTTTGATTTTTGCTCTTGTTGTGACACGTGCTTGTGAGCTTGTGAAAAAACAAAGTGCGACTTGTGTTTTTTGCATTCAGTGTATACATGCATACATGTGTGTCTGCCAAGCTGGGCTTTAATCACATGAGTGCTCAGATGCCAGGAATAACAATAATAATACCAGCATTTAAACTACCAGCAGCTGAATTTTAATCATCTATTAATTTTTCATTTCACACCTCTCTTGGCATTTTGTTCTTGTTAACATTTGGACTGACACAACATGCTGAATGCTCACACATTCTAGTGGCTTTTTTTTGGTAACTATTCTTAACAGCTCTTAAAGGCACAACAAAGTTATCTTTCTGTGTTTTCTAACTTAAATGTGCACCTACGAATCAGAACCAGAATACTTTATTAATCCCAGAGGAAATTATGTGGTTACAGCTGCTCAAAGACAGTAAGGACAGACGTACCAACAGTATTAAATAATACAGTCACTGTCACAAATAGCTCTAATGCATAAAAATATCTCCAAAATCATACACAGAAGAGATAAAAAAAAATCACACTGACAGGTATTTTCATGCGAGGATGTACAGATGTTGTTAATTAACTTTTTTTGTATTTTTATATTTTATAATTCTTTAAAAATCCCAGTGTTTTAGAGAGATCATTTGTTCTGAAAGAAACAAATAAATATTTACTAAACAGTTTGTCATATACATAGATCTGTACTGTATGTACTCTATCTTCTGGAAATCTGAATGAAACTTTGCATGAACAATGTCACACATACTGCAGTTATCTAGATTTATACGTTTAAAAAAATTATTCTAAATGGCAATTCTTTGGCTTTTTGACATGTTACATTCATTTCTCCGCAAATGCGATGTTACCTTCTCTGTTTGCGTTTCTTTCACGTGTCAGATTCAACATATGTTACAGATTTCCCCTTACATTTGTTATATTTAGTAATTTATCCGTACTTACGCAGTTTAAAAATAAACTATTTTCACTGTCACAACAAGTCGAGGATTACTTGTTTACATTCTTGCCCAACTGCTTGGCTCAGCTGGTTGTTGTGTTTGTGGCATTGCAAAGATACGTTGCCAACAGAGGAGTGGCAGAGTGCCCTCTGGTGAACAAATGAGCAATAGCAACAATCATAAGTGTTGAGTAGAAAGTTTAAAATGTTTATTTAGCTGCCGTCACAAATGATGATACCAATATATAATTGCAAATAGCTAATACTAGCTGATATATTGGTAGCACCCATAGATCAGTTGGACCAGTCAGATATTGTAATATTACGTTTTTGGTAAAGGTAAGAAAAAAAGTTTAATGAATCGATTCATGTTTTATAGTTTCTGTTTCAATTCAACTCATTACTTGCAGTATTACATTATGACCTGTTAACAGTGAACAGCATATTAATGACATGTGCATAAATATGCAGTAAACACTGAGTGAAAACGGTTACAGGGTTTTCAAACTATTTCCTTTTTCTATTTCAGCTGAAACATGGCGTGAGGGTTGAATTACTGGTAATTAATTCACGGCCCAGTGTCACAGCCAGCCTTAAACCTCCCCCTCAGCATGTTTTTGTGGTTGTTTGCATTGGCTGGCTGACTGTGTCCACTGTCAGAGTGAATGATGTATTATATTGTGGATCATTCAGTAAGTGTCTGGAGCTGTGCTGCGTGTTAGTTCAGGTGTCTCTTGTCCTCCGGCCTCTCACCGCCGGTCGCTGATGGATTCGATGAGATCTCTGTTAGGTGGAGTTTTGTGTTGCTGCCTTTCAAATAGTAGACAACAGTGAACTGGGAGAGGAGGTGGAGTGTGGGGGAGACAGGCAGAGAGGAAATCAATGGCACGTAAATTTCCAGAGGACACAGTCAAAGCCTCTTTGCCTAATTGACATTTTTGCTGGTGCTTTTCTGTATTAGCAGGCTAGAAGAATGGATGCATGCTGACTGAGGACGGTGTTTGGGCGGCTTAAGGTGTAATGTGAAAGGAGAAAGGCAGAAATTATTTTAGCCTCATTTCATCCTCGTGTTGATGCATTCTATGGCTGAAGCAGGCGGGAAGTATTTTTAGTTGTATTTTAACGCAGGTTTCAAATGTTGTCAAGCCATGCCAAAGCATGGTGAGATGTAGGTGCTGCCAACACATCCTTACACATACTTGCTTACACACAAACGCATGACTTTTAGGGCTGTCATAAGAGCTCTAATAAGAGCCTTAACCTGTTAGCAGTCGGACGTACCGCCCACGGTACATTGGATGGTTTAGGGGACTAATTGTAAATTTGTAGGACTGCTAAGGGGTTAAAAGTCATAACCAGCCATATACATATATATGTATATATGTATATATATGTATATATGTATATGTATATATATATGTATATGTATATATATATGTATATGTATATATATATGTATATGTATATATATATGTATATGCAGAAGATACCAGAGTTTGGAGAACTTTTCTTTTCTGTCTGAATAACAACATAGTATAGCCATATGGCAATGTTCAGTATTTTTCATAATAACAAGGCTCGTTAGTCCCAATTATATTGTTTTTGACAATCAGTGACAGTACTTTGAGCCACAACACTGCTTAACATTGTGGCTAATCAAAACTAGAGATGCAGTTCCTCTATTGCTCATCTTTCAATGATTGACTTTGACTTTGAAGCATTTGAAGTGTCAGAAAATAAACCTAATGTCCTCAGAGAGCTGCTTTGCCTGGCCAGCTATCCCATACTCAGAGATAATCACTTTACAACAATGCAAAACA